TCATTTATAATACCTAAATATGTTTTAAAATGCATTTTAAAGCATTTTTGGTTTCGATCATAGTAGGCTATTTTCAAAAAATATCGATTTTATATCTATATTAGCATTCTTTATCATTTATAATACCTAGATATGTTTTAAAATGCAATTTAAAGCATTTTTGGTTTCGATCATAGTAGTCTATTTTCAAAAAAAATTATCGATTTTATATCTATATTAGCATTCTTTATCATTTATAATACCTAGATATGTTTCATAAAGTTTTGTAATGTGAATGAAGAAACAATCATTCATATACTTTGTAAATGTAGGTCATTACGAGGACAACGTGTCAAGCATTTTGATGAGGACTATTTGAATGATGAGGATATAAATAAGCAGCATTATCAGGACATTATTGGCTTCATTAAGGACATCGGAATTCTAACATAGGGGACTTGGGATGGTACAACAGATCATCGATCGCAGTGCCGCTTTTGCTATTAGCAAAACCCTACATTACATTCTTCTTGATTTAAATCGCAAAAAACTACCGCACCCTGCCAATCACAAGAAAAACTGACTTTAGTAATTCAAGATAGAAAAGAATCACCTTAAATAGTTAAACGTTTGTGACAAATAGCGCAAATAGCAAATAAAAGTCAAGTGCAGTGATTTAGAAATTTGTATTAGGTAAGTGATTAGACACAAATTTACAGTTGAAATCATGGAAGCAGTTAACATCTTTTAATTGATTGTAATAATAAGCCCGAAACAAAATTCAATAAGAAATTGCCACTTTTAAAAGGAAATCCTCATTTTAAAGGCAAGTAAATTCAGTGTCATCTTTTTCGGTATTTTTTATCCAAGTGACCCATGAAATTTAACAAAGAAAATGATTTACTCTGAGGATATTATGGGGTATCTGAAAAGAAAAAAAAAGAAAAAACACCCAATATGTTATTAATGGGAGAAAAAAAAACTCATCTAACGGCTTATTTTAAATCGCTAAGAAAAATAGTCAGAGGAAACACGTTATATTGTTTATTCCATTATTCTATTAACATTCTGAATCATGTGTGGGAATTTTCTTTGCCTTGAGTTGTTTGAACCACCACATGTGCATGAGAAGTTTTTTTTTGTACTTATGTAGAGAGACATCCATTTGATTCTTTTATCTTAGTTTTTTCGCAACCCTTCTTCGCTCCCATACAAAACTTCAAATTTGTTGATTTTGCTTCTTAACCATAAACGTTTCGTCGTGAAACAGGTTTTTATTCAGGAACTGTTGATATTTTTTTGTCTTGTTCATTTATGAAGATCATCCAATTTATCTTATTCAAGTTCGAAAATTTATATTTAAAATGCACAAAATTCTATTAATTGTTTAGATAAAAACTTTTTGTTAAAATATGATGCTCAAACATCATTTAAATCTTGTGTTCTCAAACATAATATTACAATTAATACTTCACATGAAAAAATTAAGATCCACTAAAAACCTGTCTTGCTTTTGAAAACGTGTAGCATTTCTACAAAGGTTTTTTTGTTTTCTTCAATAAAAAGGGGATTTTTTTTATTCAGTTCAACTATAGTACAGCTTCCATTCCATAATATTGGAATCAGGAGATAGAGGATACAAGAAATAACTAACATTATTATCTTAGAAAATATTTCAAGTCCATCTCTTTCGTAGTGTGCAATAAAAAAAAATATAAAACATCTCATTTATCATCTTCTGGCACTTTTTTGCTCAAATAAAAGATGCAAATAACGAACTTTTATAAAGTGAATAAACATCTGGTAAAAATTCTTCTTTTATATTAAATTACTACATAAAAAGAAGATTCTACTCGCTATAAAGAAGCAAAAGAAGAAAAAACACACTTGGTATTAATAAAATAAAAAAAAGATGTTTTACCAGTTAAATCGTTCTTGGTAAACTGCATATAAAACTATGTGCATAATAGCGAAAAATTCTGCAAAAATTATTCCAAAACTAACACTTAATGCAACAATATTCATTGCATATATTTTGAATTCTAGAATGACTTCTTGATTATTTCGATAAAACGTATTAAAATAGGCTATTCTACCTTGAAGACCTTCGATAAAAATTAAAATCATAATTATCCAAACACTTGCTACAAATAAATACACTGCCTCGATTTTAAAGAATATAGCAATGATTCCTTGAAAAATTCCCATAATTCATAAATTTTATGAACACATCAATTTTATACATAACCTGAAACCCATTATATTGTTGTTCTTTTGTGTAATAAATACCCTCAAAGGCGACTAACTTGAACTACAATAAGAAGAACTTACTAGTAACAATATAAGAAATAAAAGTTTAATTTCTTTTTAATTATAACTTACCAATCCTTAATTAATTTAAAACTCAAAGCAACTCAAAGAAGTAAACCAGAGTTAATGGAACTTTAGATCGAGAAAGAAATTATCACAGATTGATTGCATTGAAATATTGTGAAATATTTTTTATTTTTGTTTGTTGTTATAGTTGTGATTAGAAATTGACATATTTTATCCACATTCTCAGAATTTATAGATCCTGCATCAGACCAATTATGAGGTCATACGCCTGTCCTGTGTTCGCAAATACTGCAGTTTGTCATTTAAACAAACTCCAGTTATTCCAGAACAAAATGATCCGTATAGTATTAGACATTCATTGGAACGATTTCAAGTCTCCTAAAATGATCCATGATTCTGCAAATATTCCTCTTCTTTCAAATTTCATTCCTCACTTAGCTGCCAACTTTTATAGAAAGCTAACGTTTCATTCTAACGATTTATTTTTATCTTCAGGTCAATATGGTTACGAGTTTTAGAGGAAAACATAAATTTCCAAAACCCCGATAGTTCATTACATCTCTTTAGTTATTAATGATTAGTTCCTTAAGTTTCTCTTTCCTTTTTTCAAAATAAATTTGATTTGAATTGGTCTTTTTTTGGTTATTTTTTTAGACCTTTAATTCATTAAGACAAGGTTTTTCATTCAGTCTATTACATTTTTTTCCAACACATCAAGTACTCATTTGATTTAAAACCGACTATGTAGGTTAATATCAATTTATTCACATTTCTTTTGTTCCGCCTTGATTTTCATTGTATAAATAAAGGATATTAATTATAACTATCCACATTCACATCCACATATTTTAGAAGAACTTAAGCTGCATTTTTTGTTGGTCTTTCGAACCTTGCGATTTGAGTCAGCAATTAAAGAAGTAGAGAGAAGCTGGAAATTGTGAGTAACAAAATTTGAAAATGAATTCAAGTTGAGTCGGGATAGACTTGCTGATACAAAGATCAAAAAGAAATCATGTCGCAAAATAGATTTGAAATTAAGAAAGCAAAGTTGAATTCAATAATTGAAGATTTTGAAAGCATTAAAAGCACCTTTGAGTTGTTAAAAGAAGAAAAAACACTTGACGAACCAAACGTATATCATAATGTTTTGAAAGGCATTTTTTGAATTGACAGTGAAGATAGAAACTTTTCAGAATGAACAAAAGAAACGTTCAGAAGTCAAAATCAATGGATACTTATGTCTCTTTGATAAGTTCTACTATTTGAAGTCGTCAGTCAATGCTCAGCCGGAATCTCAAAACATTTTGAACAATTATCAGTTCTCAGGAGGCAGCTATAAATCTGTTTAAGAAGCGTTATGCAGAAGATTCGACGATCAAAGAGTTCTTTTAATGCAATGCACAAATTCTCTTCTGACAATTAAAGGTCCTGTTGGTGATTCTTTGACGGAAGCAACGAGAGTCCTCGATAAGTACATTAGTCATTGAGTAGCATTCAATTTGATATAAGTTACAGCTGAAGAACTTCTGGACATGATATTTGGGCAATTTGTCAGAAATCGTTTTGATAAGAATCTTATGAGAGAATGGGGTATTCATATTGACAGCAGTGATCAAAGGTCAAGTTGGGATTTATTTTGAAAGTTTATGGATCAACTTATTAAAATTTTTGACATTCACTTATCAAGAAGAAAATTCATTTCATTCAATTAATCCGTCATCTCTGTATATTTTAAGAGTTCAAGCAGCAGATTTTTCATCTTAAATGTTTTTCTTAATTATCTTAATCATAAAATATGATAAAATGTTAGTATAATGATAAAGAATGCTAATACACATATAAAATCGTTTTTTTAAATAGCCTACTATGATTAGATTTAAGAATTGTTTTAAAAAAAGGTTGGTATTGTAGCAGAAAAGAATTATACTCAATTAATTGTTTGCCAGTTTCCCAACTTTGTGAAGTTTCTTCTCTTGTCCTTCTATTTAAAATTATTAACAATTGCTGTAAGAATATTGTTGCGATTAAAATTAAAAGACAAATTTATAATTTCAATACAAGAAACCGATCTAACTTTGCCATAAATATGACAAACACACACTAAGGTGCAAAACCTCTGAAGAAATGCGCGTTCCATAAGTTCATTTAAAACTAAAGTTAAAGAATTTTTATTTAAATCATACGTTGATGAGCAACAGCAGTAATGAGCAACCATATATAACAATGCTTACACTCTAACTTGAAATTGTTATTAAGTAAAAAATAGCAAAAATGCTGATAAATTATTATGAATTAAATAAATAAAAAAAGCACCCAAAATCCGACTAGACATTTCGTAAACAGTAATTGTAATTATATGTTTTTTTTTAATTTAAAAATCATTAATATTCAGTAAACTTCAAGCTTATAAAGATTGCAAACAAAAGATAAATGCATGACCCATTACTTACTTTATAGTTGAAACAAAAATTTCATATTTTAAAAAGATTCATTTAGTTATTATTTTTATTCCTTCGTGATTATGATATTACATATTATTGTTTTAAAAAAAATTTTAAATTTTATTTTTATCTAAATTTAAAAAAAAAATATATTGCCATCAAATTGAGAATTCTGCGTATATTTTCAGGACGGAGTTCTAACATTTATTCTTGTATAAACCTTAATATTAATTTTGATACTATAAAAAATCAACATTAAAAATGGACGGCTTAACATCAATCTTTCCTATAATAATATGCTTTTGTACAAACTAAATGTTCTTTGAGATTGCTTAAAATTTATTACACTTATTGATATTTTATGTTGTTCTAACGACTTATCCATCAATGCCTTACTTGCATAAAGAATAAAAGTGTCAAAAGAACCCCTGAAATGAGGAATAATTGAGCCTTTATTGCACTAGCACCAGCTAATCTGCATTTAAATAAATCATATCGAGTTTCTTTATCGTTCATGATATTTTGAAATTCGGATTCGACCAATTGACCATCATAATAGGTTATTAAATCTTCGAAGGGATATTCAAAACCTTGCAAACATTCACATTTATAACCTCCACTTTCGAATCCACGACCCAGTATAGGAACGCACTAAAATAATAAAGTAAAATAAGCTAAATCAATTAAAATTTAAATCTTAGTTTTAAACTCACATAGGATGTACTTTGATCACACTTGTGAGTGTTTTTAAATGCATTTGGGACGTGATAATCGTCAGGACACTGATTAATATCTAATTGTCTCATATCCATAGATACAGCAACTACACCTCTACAAAAAGATGAAAATTTACATTTACAAAAAATTTTCTATTTATATTCTTACTTGAATTCTAGTTTTGCTTTTAGACTATCAAAACCAAAAAATGGTGCCGCATATGTAATGATCCACTTTTTGACGAATCCTTTACAATCAAAACGCGGGACTGTCCAATGACCATGTTCTAATTTGGCTGCATGATAAAAATTAGGATAATGTTCATACTTTTGAGAATATTCTCCAGTTTCATTATGCCTAATTCTTATTTTCATCCAAAATTGCTCCAAATCGTCAAAATTTGTAGACCAACGTTGTTTTAGAAATCTAAAAAAGTCTTTCTCCAGATAAGTTTCACCAGTTTTATTAAGACGTGCCAAATCTTCAACTTTGAATTTTCGCGTATTTAATTCTTTTTTGTATGCAAAAGGTGCAAATAATGTTCTATTCGTAAATTTGTTTCTCTCCCAATAAGTTCCTGCTGACCAAATTTTTGTATCACCAAGTAAAAGTGCTAAAGTTTCACCAATCATTTGATCCTCTGTAAGGGGTTTGTCCGCAACTCTTTTACCTGAATAAACTTCAGTTGGATCAGATACCTGCAAAAATGCACTTATAAAGTTTGCTAATCGTAAAGCCATTTTAGCTTCATTTTCAAATTGTTGTCGAGCACCATAGGCAATATCTCCTCTTAAAATCAAATCTTGTTCATGATAACTAAAATTAAGTTTTTATTAATAAATATAATTTGACTAGCTAGAAAACGACTTACTCGCCACAAGTTCTTTCTGAAACACCTAAAATAAAGTTTAATACTTGATCTGCATTTATTTTGTCAGTGTGTAGAGATCCTGCTCCAGTTGTGTAATTTCGATATTCAGTATAGCGGTCTAAATATTTTTCACGTATATATGGTGGAGCTCGTTCCCATTGAATTGGTATTTTTTGGATCCCTATTATGTCATTGTAATTGATTAGGATTTTTTATTTTATAAAACCGAAATCATCCTAACTTACATCCTACTTTAAGGCAATCAAATCCATTGTAATATTGCTCGTCAGTAGCTCTTTCTAAAATTTCGCCCAAAAATGGTTGTCTTACGTGACTCGGCAATCGATGCTGGGGTTTGCATCTACATTGATATCCACCTCTTCGAAAACCCCAACCATCCAAAGGTTCACACTTTAAATCAAAAAGAATATAAATTTTATTATTTTTTAAAAAAAGACTTTATTTAAGTTTATAATAATACCTCCGTAGTTTCAGTTTTACATCTCGCAGTATCAGAAAAATGATTTGGATCTTTGTTTCCCTCACCTGGTGGACATTGATTTATATCAATCCTTTCAAAATCCATTTCGACAACAGATACTGCAGTATATCTGTAAAACAATTAAAAGTTATTTATTAGTTCATTTATTTTACAACCTTGTCTGTCTCCTAATTTCTTATGTCTCACTTCGGATATTCAATATGCCTGAATTGTGTGTGACGGGGATAAATATCAGCTATTGGGACAACTGCAGCTACAAGCCATTTGTTTGAACGCCCACAGTCAAAATAAGGCCTTGTAAACTTAACAGGACCAGGTATTTCATCAGCACCTGGCGGTCCATGGAATGTAAATGTTTCATTCGTATTATTTGCATAACGAATTTCAATATCGTATGTTGTCTTCGTATCATGTCTATTTTCTACATCGTCTGGTAACCATTTTTTGTACCATTCATTGATCTTATAGTAATCGGTTGAATAATCCTTCGAATATGCGTTTGATGGAATCGAACCCAAATCTTGAACTGAGAATGTATTTAAAGTTGATATCTTTTGCAAGTGAATTGGATCGTTAAAGTCATCGAGTCGGAATGTTCGAGGTGCAAATCTGGGAAAAGTTTTATTAAAAAATCCACGGTATGAGGAAGAGTATGAAGAGTTCGGTGCAAAATAAACGGCTGAAGCGTTTATCATTGGATTTGCAGAGACATCTGCAACAGTTGATAAAAAGTAATACATCATTCCGGGATCGTAAGTATCATTAATGGCTGGACGGATAAAGCGACTTTGAAGAATATAACTCCAAAAAAATGCTCTACTAAGTGCCATATTATGCAAATGCAAAAGAGCAGTTCGATTTGGGAATACTGGATTTATATTGATTTCTTTTATGTCCGGAAGATGCGAAACCGTGTTTTCAGGCAAATATAAATCTCCCAAATGCTGAATTTGACAGTTATCTTGAGTTACTTTATCATATTTTATTTTAATCTCATCAAATGCATCTCTAGCTTGCCATTCAAATTGAGCGAAAACGCCCATAATAATAATTGCGAGAAATGTAAAAACACTTCTCCAATAATTATCAGTCGAAACCATTTTATTTAAGCACTTAAAGGCACTACACAGATCTATCAAACTTATTTAAATTATAATTTAGAGTATCAAATATTAAACATATTTTTAAATTGTGAACTACGCCTATTAAAATGGCAGCACTTTACTCATCGGTTTGATTAAGCAATACAGTGGAATCTTCATGAGACCGACTAATACTATTTTAAATTCTTGCTTTTGTTTTATTTATGCTTCATCATCAACAGTATCTACTGTATGCATTTGTTGAATTTGTTTTCATTCTATCTCTTTCTTAAATTCAGTCGGGTTTCAAAATATACAAATTCAATAGTAAACTAAGTTTGACAATTCATCATAGTAATAGTTTTATCAATTTTTTTTATTCAAAACAATTAAAAAATTTAGAAAAAACTTAAATATCCTTATTAAAAAAAAGAAGAAAAAAATGATCAGTTTAAACGGTTTGAACCGTTTCACCCACACATCAAAATAAATTAAAATTTTTAAAGTAAAAAAAAGTCGTTACACTTGATTTTCAATATTAGGTGTTTCAGAAATAATAAAGAATTTGTCTTTCATCCCTAAACCTCTGTAGCAAAAAATAGACATACACAATAGAAAACATAGTTCTGGGTACATAATGAGGGGTTACGTTTTTAAAAATACTATACTGTAAAGTTCTATTGTTCCATTTCATCAACCTTTATTTCAGGATTACACCTGATGTTGAAAAACATAATAAAAAAATATGTTAGTAATAAAACAAGTCTGATCCTTGATCGTAAAAATAGGCACGAGTCTTTTTGTTGGTTTAGCGTGTGCTTGATTTCAAATAGCTAGTGTTTGGAATATCAAATTAAAAGGTCACATGTAACACACAATAGATTGAAAGCAAAATTGTTTTGATCATTTACGTGCTTTTTTTAAATCAATCTGAAATCATTCAAGTGACCAATTAGGTTAATGTATTAATTATTTTTTATCATTTTTTTTTCAAAAAAAAAAAAATCAAAATTAATCTTTCTTATCTACAAGTAGTAATTAAATAAATGGTTGATTAATCTCAATATTTGTATCTTTAAAACTAGTTTCTTGTTTTAATAAAAGTAAAATCTTATTAAATCCCTAAAAAAATATTTATTTAAATGTCAAAAATCGTAATGGAGATATTTAAAATATAATTTACAATAGCATTTACTGCATTATTTTACTAAAAAAAAGAATTAGAAGAAAAAAATGTTCATCCTGTTTTACTTCATTAATATTCGTTATTTTTTATACAAAGTTCATTGAATTTATCGTTCAAACAAAAAAAAAACATTTTTTTTGTTGTTTTTTATTTTTTTAAGCATAATATATGTTTTCATATTCGTTTGGCTCGTTGTATGCACAGGAATTCGTTCTAAGTTGCATCTGCGCATTGGAGTGAGTATAAACACAAAACTTGTGGGAAAAGAAAGCATTTGGATATGCATTTAAGATTTGTTAAAAAGGATATGTTAAGAAAAAAGAATAAAAGGTGAGTAGATGAAAATAAGAGTTTGATGACTTTTTTATTCAACATTATTAAAATATGAGAATATGGAAAAGAAAAAGATATGCGATTTATTATAATGCATGATTATATGTTTTTTCTTCATCAAAGAGACGATTCATTAAAGGAAATGGTAATTTTTTTTTAAAAAGTTCATACTGTGCATGCAAAAAAACACGTGATTTCAAAAATAATATGAAAATGCATTTTTATTGCAAAAAAATACTATTGAATTAAATAAAATGGGGTTGGTAGTTGAGCAAGACAGTTGTGAGAGCACTACACTGGTGGAAATTGAAATGAGACACCCATGTTTTTTATGTGAAAGTCTTACAAATGAAAGATTAAGCCTTACTTGTTGTATATCATTGGAAAGAACTTTAAAAAATAACTTAAGTACAGGAACAATGTACTGACTGAAAATGTAGCAGTTTAAAGTTATTTACAAAATATGATTTTTGAGGTGGAAATTGAAATGAGACACTTTAGAAAAATTTACAAAAATCTTCCTCAATTTTGACTTTGACTATACATATTGTATATAGACTTGTAGATTTTTATTTTCTTAACAATACTAGAGCATTCTAAAAATTTTTGGAACTTCCAATCATCTAATATCCTGAAGAGAAAGTAGTGAAAGCCAGGTTTTTTGTTTTCATCAAATATTTTTATGAATAATCATCTATTAATAACAAATGAAATCTAAATATGTAGATTTTTAAATGCTCTTTCAGATAAAGAATTGATATTTACCTCAACATAAGCTTAAATGACAAAAATTAATTAAAATGCTTGTAACGAGTGAGTACGGATATGAAAAAATTTATTTTTCTCTTATTTTGGTTAATCAAAAAAATCTGAAGTTTTCAGGACATATTCTGCATTGCCTTTACTATAAGTTTTTAATGCCATATATTTTTTATCTCCATCCATAAACGCTAGGATTAACATTTAAGTCATGATGAAATCCCATAATATCAAATTCCATAAATTTTTCACATTATTAATGCAAAAATTCAAATCGAAAAATTCCGTTAAAATTTTCTTATTTTTATCATTTATTAATATTTTATGCACATAAAACGTATTTATGTAACATTTAGAGAATCATGCACTATGTTTAAGATGCTATAGTATCCTTATAATTTCAGGACAATTTAATTATTGTTTGTTTACATCATTAATTTTAGGCTAGAAAAAAGATGCAAAAATAAATTCAAAAATTTTGACCGTTACAAAAACACTAAAACCTAGTATAATTAAATTATGCTGATAGCATAATATCTTAAAGATAGTGCATGACTCTCTAAATGTTACATAAATACGTTTTATGTGCATAAAATATTAATAAATGATAAAAATAAGAAAATTTTAACGGAATTTTTCGATTTGAATTTTTGCATTAATAATGTGAAAAATTTATGGAATTTGATATTATGGGATTTCATCATGACTTAAATGTTAATCCTAGCGTTTATGGATGGAGATAAAAAATATATGGCATTAAAAACTTATAGTAAAGGCAATGCAGAATATGTCCTGAAAACTTCAGATTTTTTTGATTAACCAAAATAAGAGAAAAATAAATTTTTTCATATCCGTACTCACTCGTTACAAGCATTTTAATTAATTTTTGTCATTTAAGCTTATGTTGAGGTAAATATCAATTCTTTATCTGAAAGAGCATTTAAAAATCTACATATTTAGATTTCATTTGTTATTAATAGATGATTATTCATAAAAATATTTGATGAAAACAAAAAACCTGGCTTTCACTACTTTCTCTTCAGGATATTAGATGATTGGAAGTTCCAAAAATTTTTAGAATGCTCTAGTATTGTTAAGAAAATAAAAATCTACAAGTCTATATACAATATGTATAGTCAAAGTCAAAATTGAGGAAGATTTTTGTAAATTTTTCTAAAGTGTCTCATTTCAATTTCCACCTCAAAAATCATATTTTGTAAATAACTTTAAACTGCTACATTTTCAGTCAGTACATTGTTCCTGTACTTAAGTTATTTTTTAAAGTTCTTTCCAATGATATACAACAAGTAAGGCTTAATCTTTCATTTGTAAGACTTTCACATAAAAAACATGGGTGTCTCATTTCAATTTCCACCAGTGTATTGTTTCAATATGAGAGCCCTTTTATCACGACATGCTTAAATTGATGGAATCCACATATATACTTACACACATAACTTTCTTTTATGCAATTTTTTTTTAAACATCTGCTCACATTTTGTTCCCATCCTTTCTTCTTTAGTTTTGCATATCTGTATAGGTTGATCTTCACATAAAAATTCATTAAGAAACAAAACAAAAGTTCATCAAGAACATTGTTCTAATGAATAATCATTTGATTATTGTAAAAAAAAATTTTGATTTTATAAGAAATTTTTAAATATAGTAATTTTTGAAAATTAATAAGATAAAATTACCAAAAAATCCTGATTTTCTTGATTTAAAAAGATCTCTTCTTTTGGAGTTTAATTTTATATTTTTATAAAGAACTATTAAAACTGTTTGTGTACATTTATTTATTTTTTATATTTAAACCAGAGATCAAAGCCGATTTTTTTGATTAAAAAAAGCCATTTAACACCCATTTCAAGTAGCTAAATTGAACTTTACATGCTTTACTATGATTCTGCGTAATATTTTGTCATGATCTGTAGGTGAATGCAAAATAGTTAGATAATCAAATACTGATCGTTAACACAAAAATGTACTTAAGTCACTCAATCAATAACACGAGGATTTCTGTATTTTTTTTTTTGTCAATATTACCAAGTAAATGCAGTTATTTTTTTAATTATATATTCTGAATTTGTTATCGGAACATGCGGAACATCATTGTTTATTAGTTCTTGATTTTTAAATTATTAGTGTGCTAATAATGAAGATATGGACAGCTTCTCTATAAAACTATACTCAGAGAAATTTTTAAACTTGACTATCAAAAAACGAAAAATACAAAATTTTTAGATTGCACTTTATATTTATTATTATTATTATATTTAAATGTAAATTTTTCATAAGTATTTTAATTGTGATAAATCTAAGGAGCAAAAAGAGTTTAAAAACTCGTCTTGACCACTAAATTACTGAATAGAATTTTTTTGTTAGTTCATCCTTTTTTGTTTATAATAAAATTACCCTAACATAATAATTTTCTCATCACAAACAGTCTACTTAAGCTTTGAATTGTGATCTCCAATTGAAGGAATACTATAGTATTTCACTGTCGCTTTATTTCTCAATGACACTGAAGATAAAGGGGTATCCCTTTATCCAGGAAAGAAATCTTTGGCAGAAAAAACAAAAAAAAAATATTTCAAGGAAGTTGATATAAAAGAAATATTCTTCCTTGTTTCTTTTATAAATCTTACATTCTATTTGTTGTCCGGCAGGGCATTATTTCTGAGACAATTCCTAAAGATTTTTTTTCATCATCAAACGTTATTGTTTAGGAGGAAGAATAAACAAATTTTTAAAATGAACAGACACACACTAAGTGTATCGGGTAGAAACCAAATGCGGATATAGTCACACCCTACCATCAAAAATCTTGTGGATAGACCAAGCTTTGCTCAGCGTTAACTTTTAATTTTAAATTTTAACGGTTTGACCAAATATTTTTAATTTATTTCTTCAATTTTTCCATTTATGGTTGAAGTTTATAAAATACCAGTGAATTTAGGTTTTAAAAATTCGTAAGAAGGGAAGGTTTTTTGCTTTTTCTAAAAACAATACAGCTCGGTTAATTCTATTAAGCAGCATGGATGAAATGTAAAAAACTGGAAGTCTCTACAATGTCTTGTTATTAAGATTTCTTACTGATTAACTGATTTTGCGCACCAATTTGAAAACTGTTTTTTTGCAAAAATAATTTCAAGCACAAACTTTTAATCTTGGGACATGTTAAGCTAGCTATGATCCATTTCCTTACAAAATTCGAAAAACTGATTTTTTAATCTGAACAAAAACAATACATTTACACGTGTATGCGGTGTGAATATAAATATTTTAAACCAATTTAATGAAACATAATGTAGATTGTAGACATCTACATCGAATCTACATGTAGACAGAATCTATATTTAGAAATAATCTATGTGTAGATTAGATTTTCTATCTACATGTAGAATCGATCTTTATGAAGAAAGTTTCTTAGCTAGTCAAAAACTATTGAAGAATCTTCATTCTTCATCTAGTATAGACATCTACATTTGCAACACTGATCCAAAGTGCCCAATATTTCATTTTAAAATTTTTTTCTGGTTTTTTTTCTTTTAAGATTGTTTGAAAAACTTCAGAAATTGTTGGATACCTTTTTTCAAGACTGAGTTTTTGCTTCTGCAAAGTAAAGTGAATGCATAAAATTTCTGCAAAAATTAAAGCTTATCCTTCTTTGACAATTCTCGAATTTTTTTCTTCTTCATTTTGAGACTTTTTATGCAATTGCGTGAGAACAACATTAAATTACAGAGTGTTTGTTAAAGCCATATGAATTATGAAATTAAAGAAAATCGTTGGAGCTCTCTCCCAACCTCCGAAGAACGAGGTTGTGGAATTGTGCATTTCTTTAATTTTTGATTAATTACATGTAGGCAGCTGTCAAAAAATAATTTAAACTATTCATTAAGAACTAAGGAACAGATAGACAAAGGAGAGTACAAAGGAAATAAATTAAAATTGATCAAAAAATTGCAAATGTTTGCACATAACTTAGAAGAAATGGAATTCTTACAATCATCGGAATACCAAAGAACATATAAGAACATATCTAAGGTTCTTCTCGAAAATTATTGCTGTCGGCTAATCGCAGGCATGTGTTGACGAGTTGGAGCTGACTAGATATTTCAAAAGTACTTTTCATGCTTATTTATAAAATGTAATCTACCCGGAATTTTAAACGTTCTTTGAATATCATATGGACCTTAATAAAACTAATTAAGAAGAAGAAGAAGGAATTGTAGGGTTTTAAAAGTTAAAAATATGCTTTTTTCGAATTCAAGAACTTTTGCTACAAAAAAATCTTTTTTAATTATTTATAGTGGGTATTGAGATAAATAACCATTCTGATTTACATAAAGTGTTGTGCATTGCATGGATTTGTAAAATGCTCACAAGGATGATTACAGTTGTTTATTTCCAAATGTTAAATGTCATTTTTTTTTGTTCAACTTTTTCATTATGTTTTGTCTATTTTTTTCATAGTTCATAGTTAAAAAAAATGTCCAGAATTTTAATTTTTTAAGATCTTTGTGTTTTAAATGTTTAAATTTCATAATCCATTTACTACATAGTTTCAATCTTTTTCAATATGCAATCTTACCTTTTTTTTAAAAGTATGAAACCTTTTATATTTAATCAGGATCAGACTTTCAGTATCGCAGTGCCTTCAGCTCGTCGCAACGTGTAGTAACACACCGCCAGGCTGGAACCCTCTCACATTATTATTATTTATATTTAATAAACATTCAATGTTACATAATAAAGAATCTGAGAAAAAGTTTTCATCAAAATTTTACCAAATTTTTTTATTTGAAACCATTTCAAAATATGTACATATAAAAATAAAACAGTCATTTAAAAATTTAAAATAAAAAGAAGATTTTTTTTCGCAAAATCCGTCTGTGGGAATAAAAACTGGATTTCAAATTGTTAAATTAAAAGGAGATGATGTATATATTAATTTAATCTTTTTTGATTTTTTTTTGCAAGATTACAAGAATAATGTAAAATTGTGAATATTTTTATTTATAAGTCATTTCACTCATTTAAAATTTACCATTTAAAATTTACAAGCAAACTCAGTTGTATAGAAATAAAAACAATAGATCAAATAATATATAAATATTTTTTTATACTTTACATTTTTTATATTTTATGTAAAGTTTTGTTTCGAATTAGTATTGTCTTCTCATAACTTCCTAACTGGAAAAATGTGTGATCCTATTTTGTTCGCTTTTTACTTAAAATAAACTTTAAAGAAATAGTACATTGAATTTTTTCTAAAATGATTGTATTAGTAGCGTAATATTTACTTTTTGAAGGCTACTTACATTTAATTACATAATTTATGCATTTTATTTTAAATACTTTTTTCTTAATGCCGGTTCCATATTATTAAAACGTTTTTGTAAAACTATACAGTGTTGAAATTAAAGAACATAAAATTACAAAAAAAAGAAACAAATAGTAGGAATTTCACTTAGTGTAGTAGAACGTATGTACAAAAATTTTATACAAAAGAGATAAAAACTGCATGATGCTATTTTAGCAGCGAAATTTATTTAAAATAATTTTACACATATACAAATGGTATTGTGTTGAAAGTAGTAGTTAAAACTTTTCCATTAAGACGAGCTCAATTCGTATTACCGCTATCGCTGTAGCTCTGGATACATAAAAAAAAAACTTGAATATATACTGCATATATGTATGAAATGTGCTTCATTTTCACTGACTGCGTTCTCGAACATTTTTTTGTTTGACTCACATGCACACACAACAACACGACACATCGGGATTCTTTTTTTAAGTGTATTTTTCAATTCATGAAGGGAAAAGTGCTAGTAGTTTTTTGTTGGTATATTCATATAAAACTCTTTCCTTTTTGCCGAATGAATAAAAAAAAGAGTAATTTATGTACTTTGAGAACGATTCGCACAACAATTTTAGCAGTGCACTAGTAAAGTTGAACGCGATCGATTAACAACATTGCAAATAATTGCGGACAAAACACACAAAGAATAATTACTATCGCGTTGCATTTTTTTTTACTTTCGTAATAGAATTATTTTTCACAAGTGAAAAAAACGCATCATTAAATGTGCTGAACAAAAATTGTTTTTTAAGTGTTTATTTTTATTTGTGAATAAATTTTTTGAATCTTGAAGTAATTATATTAAGAAGATTTTTAAAAAATCGAATTCTTAGTGGAAAAATTTCCATACAAAAGAATTAATAAAATAATTTTTCATCACGATCTTCAAATAAAAAAGTTGCAACATTCAAACCTAAAAACATCAAACTACAAACTAAATGCTGTTTATTATTGCTAGATTTTATTTCATTTTTATACAATTTTAGTTTAGAGTGCTGATTAAAATATATTTGATATAATAAGTAATATTAATAATATAAAATTGTCAAAAAATAGTCGACAAGATTTTTTAAAAATAAGTTTTTTTTAAAATTATTAAAAAAAAGTTGTATAAATTTTAAAGTTAAATAAAAACATAAAATATGGATTATATAAACTAAAATGTGAACTTGATCAAACAGAAATAATAAGTTAGAATGGTTTAAGTTTTTGAAGATTGGTGGGGAATTAACACTCAAAATTACTTTTTTCTTTGCAATATAACAACAACAGCTAACTGGAAAAGTGAAAAATATATTTGTTTTTGGACTTTAAAAGAGACATTTGATACCAAATAATTAAAGCCTGATCCAAAAAAAATTGAATAGTAGACACTAGTGAAATCAAATCAATAGGAATATCAATGAGTAAGTTGAAGTTATGTTATATAGAATTGAAGTCTGTTAATAGTTCGGCGCTGTAAAATTTTGTAAGCCATAGTATTTAAAAGTTCCAAAAGTTTTCGTGTTTTATCAAGTGACTTCAGGACATTCTTTGCACAGCGATCAGTATTTGATAGAACCAACGCGAATAAAGTTAATTTTATATACTTGCGTAATTTTAATCAATGCTTAATTATAGAAAGAAAAAGAAAAATCTAACAAATTTGTGTATTTAAAAAAGACTTTGTCAGTTAACGGTTTTTTGGCATTCAAATTTAAACGATTTTTAAAAAATAAAAATTGAAGAGGTCGATTTTTTTTAAAGATGACATCTATATATATATATATATATGTATATATATATATATATATATATATATATATATATATATATATATATATATATATATTGGGCAATTCCACGAATGAATGGAGTTCAGAGCTAATTAAAATTTTGATTCCTTTAAAAATCATAATTTAAAGACATATTTATAAAAAAACATCCTAATCAGGGAAACCATTATTAATTAAAGTAAAATTTGTCTTTTAAAAATTATTTTCTCATGGATTATGAAAATAAAAGTTGGTTTGTTTTAATATTAGCAAGTTAATTTTTATGCTTAATGAGTGTGTTTTATTACCAAAAATTGTTTTTTTTTTTATTATAATCCTGCGAATATAATCTTTTTGTTTTAGATTTATCGAATTTTTAACAAAATTATAGTTCAAATAGTGATCATTGGTCAAAAATGCGCTGAAATGACTCGATCAAACTCGAGGATTTTTGTATTGTTTTTTTTTGTTCTTTGACAACGTTTCTCGTCGAATATATTCGAAAAGCTTATACGAACAAAAAGCGTTTTACGTGTAGAAGTAGATTAAAAGCTTTTCATTTTAGTTCTGTATTGGTAAAGCTCATATAAGTTTTTATGTTTGAAACACTGTGAAAAAATATTTGTTAAAAATTTGTTTCCTTAAAAATTTTTAGGTAAAAAAAATTTATGTTTTACAAACCGTCAGTTTTACTTAATTTTACTATGGATAAATCTCTTACGTGGTTGTTATCTAATTTCAAGTTAATAACTTAATTGATTTTACTTTTTGTTTAAAATTAATCTTAAGGTTTCAGGTATTTTATTTGCCCATTGTCTTTTAATATTTGTTTAATTTATTGTATTTGATTAATGTACATTTCATTTATTTGTTGTTTCGTGATAATATTTTAACAAATTTCATCAAAAATAACGTACAATTAAACTCTTAAATTCAATATTTATTCGTAAAAGGTTTTTATCAAGTTTTTATATTTCCATGCTGAGTTTTACAAACACTTTATAAAATTAATGTAACTTATTTGTAAAAAGTTATTTAATTTATTTTGATTAATTTTAACTTAAATTACTCTAAATGATTGCTTATTGAAGTGTTCAAAATGAATTTCGCTAATAATGTGGAAAAAATCAAAAAGTCTCGACTAAAGTCTCGCATTAAATGCTATCACACATGCAATATTATTTTCATTATAATTATATCGCATCACCAATACTCCAATAATAAGTAAAACTTTAAATTTAAAAATTGAAAAAAAAACTCAATTTTAACACAAAAAATATAAAATACATTAAAAAAATTGTCTTTTATACCATTCTACAACAAAAGTGAGACAGAAAAAAAAAGAAAAAAAATTGCGAATTTTTCGTACTGAATTTTTTTGCACATACACAGTAAAATTGTTTCCAAGCATGTCAATGCTAACGCCGATATGAATAAAATATTTAATGTGTTAGCGAAACAGTTTGTGATTGAGAGTGGAGAGCATTTTAATATATATATATATATAATATATTATAGAGAATATATATGTAGAATCGTGTTTTAAAGACTAATAAAGTAAATTACGGCAATGCTTGCATTTTCTTTCAATTTTTTGAACTTTCAAATTAAATTTGAACTGAAAAGCATTGTTTTATATTATTTTTTCTATTAACTTGGTGACAAAAATAATTTTATTTTGCTTGCATTTTTCCTAAATGAAATAATAAAATAGATTTTGTAAAGTTTCAAAATTACGCAAACGTTTTATGCATGCCGTGTCAAAGTATACAATTATTACTCAAAAATCCTTCTTTTTATTCCACCCGAAGCCCATCATATTTTTATACGATGTCTAGCTTCATATACTACATCGACTTATATGTGTTTGTACCAGTAGAACATGATACTTATGTAGTTGTTTCTCTCGTTTAGTTGGATATACATTGAAATATGAATAAAAAATGTTGAGTATACAGAAAAATTTGCACATTGTACAATCCTGCTGCTTGTCTTTATACAAGAAACTTACGAAAACTCACGATGACGTAGTACCGAGCCGCCATTACACTCGCCTTTTATAATATTCTAAGAGAGTTTTAGTGTCTATTTTGTGTTTGAAAAGGTAAAAGACCAAGCAATTTTTCCTTCTGCCTTCGAATCAAAAACTCTTAAGACTTGATTTTTCAATAATTATATTTATCAACTCAATTATAAAATAAAATAAAAAAATAAAGCTTCCAAGAAAAAGACAAGTAAACTATAAAACTGTGTGAATAAACTGAGGATTTTTTATTATAAAACTGTAAAAAAATTTAACAAATTTTTTTTAAAAAAAAAATGTTTTAAAATACACAACAAAGAAAAGGTAATTAATAAATTTTTTGATTTTAGCAAAAGTGGTATTTTTTTTTTGTATTTAAAAAATTATAATAAAAGTTTGAACTTACTTATAAAATATTAGGTGTGTGTTCGTGTGAAATAAAAACAAATAAATGGCAAAAAGTGACAAAAATTTTACGGTTCTTTTTTGAAATTTAACAAAAATTTAATATTTCTAATAATAAGTGAAGAAAATATATATTACCACTTTCAATCTAAATCGAGCATAATATAATAGCTTCTTTTTTTGAATCAATAAGCCGGCCGGCTTTTAAAATATTTAACCTTGAGTTTTTTCTTATAGGGAGATTTTTTCTTCTCTTTAGTCCTTTTTATGATTGTATAACATATATCCTTCTGCATTTCCTTGGTACTTATTTCTTGTGTGCAGTCTGGTTTTTCATACAAAATAAAAAAATTTCAGGGTAAAAAGAAACATGTCCTAACAGTTGTAAGATTTTAATAAAGATCAAAGTTATTTTTTTTAAACATTTGTTAATGCAAAGGCAATTTAAATTAAAAAATGGCATTACAAAACGATTTATTTGTGATTTTATTTCGTCTGATTTCCACCATTTTGATTTCTATTATTATTTTCTTTTATATATATTGCCATTTCTTTTTAATTCTTACTTTTGTACTTTTCATTTAATTATTTTCTCTTCAGTAAAAATTATTTTGTATATTAACCATTCTTATTTTTCAATTAACAAACAATTATTATAGATTTTTTCAAGGAATGTCACTAAGCATTTGAATGCAAAAATAAAACATTTTTATGATCTATCATTTTCCAATTTCATTACTTTTACTTTTTCACTCTTTTAAATTTGGTATAAGTACTAGTGTGCGCGTCGTTTGTATGTAGAAAAAGTGCACTGTACTTTGTGCATTTAAAAATGTGCTTTTCTCCATTTTGAATTTTCGCTTCTCTTTTTCGTTTAATTTTTTCTGCAATTGCAGTACTGAGTTGAATTTTGTGTTAAGCACGTGGTTTTAGCATTGTTTCAATAAATTTATTCTATATCTCATCATATATTAATTTTACTAGTGTTCTGGATTAAAACTGGACGTTTATAACAAATAACTACTGCATTTAACTAAATATTATCTGTAAGTTTTCTTAAGTCTTTGTAATTTTGATTTATTTTTATCAGATTATTTCGGTGGTACTACAAGTTATCACGTATGACTGCTATTCATACACTCTTATTATTCTGATAAATAATTTAAACCAATTTAAACTTAACCATTTCTTACATAATAACTTAAAAAATTTAAAATTTTATACGAGGGAATAAAATTAAAAAAAAGTTAAGAAAAAAGAATCAAATAAATCTATATTCTTTTGAAAAATAATGAGAGATGTTATTCCTCTTGTACACTATCCATAAATTATGGATATGCAAAATAATTATAAAAGTTTTCTGTTCAATACGATAAATACAATTGTTATTTGACAAAATAATTTTCACATTGTTTTTAGTTCGGTTTTTGTAAATTAAAAGTACGGAAAATATGATGATACAATATAATAGGAAAAATAATCAAAAAAAAAGAAATTATTGAATATCAAAGTTCAATATACTCACTGACCGGTAGACGAGTGCAGTATTATGCACAACACGAGTTTATATTCTTTGTGGTAGTAAATCAAATTATAAATATTAAAAGCATATAACAATTTGCACACACATTTTCAAACAAACTGCTCTCTTACGCCACAAAAAAAAATATCCTATTCCTCTCAATAAAAGACTCTCTTATTTTTTTATACGGCTCACGTTTATACAAAAAATTGTCTGACAATACACAATGAAAGTACATGAATTGAAATTTTCCTCAACTCACACAGACACAATATAAAGATAATTTTCTTTCCTTTTTCTCTCAAAAATATTACACCAGAAACGGAAAAGAAAAAGAATACAAATAGCAGACGACAACACAAAAAACCCTGAACCTACCCCATTGCAAATCTAAAATTTCCACCGAAATGCTTTTTTAAGTAAACGCGTGTAAAAATGTTTATTCGTTCATGAAAGAAAAGGGAAAATCGCTTTCAAAAATTGAGAATAATCACAAATTAGTAGATTTAAAATTATAAAGTAAAAGAAATCGAATGATTATTATGTTATAGAATTGGTTTTTAAGGGGCATACTGTAGTATTTTAATTTTTTTTCCGTGACTTTTCGAGATGTTACCAAGATCGTATCTTATTTCAAAACGTATACACTTTGGATTAATCCCAAAAAAATCTCAGCACTTCCTGTCATCAAACTTTGAATCACACTTGAAATTCCTCAATTATTAATTAACTTTAGTGGGGATTTCAAGTGTGAAGACAGAAATTGCTTGGATTTTTGGGATTAATCCCAAGCGTATATTTTTCTTTGAATTTAGGAACGAATCTAAATATTAAAAAAACTGTAGGCCATAGTTTTAGCACAAAAAAATGAAAAAAATCAATAATATTGTCTGCGATTTTTCATGTTCCTTAATATCTTTATATTATTGTTGCTATTATTATTTTTTTGTTATTATTATTATTACGTTTAAAATTATAACCATTATCATATAAATTTTATTTATCAACTGATTGTCTTCGTCACCCCCCCCCCCCTCCCCCCCCCCCCCCATTTTTAAGATTCTTGATTTTTGAAAATTCCTTTTCTCTAAATTTGTGTTACGATATTCAATATTAACGATGTAGCCAATAAAAGCTAATTTATGTTAATCTAAAATTTAAAAAAAAAATAAAATTATAGTTTTAATATTTCAACTTAATTTAATTTACTTACTTTCTCTTCAATTTTAACTTGTTTTTGAATGTATTGCAGTAATCTAAATAATATAAAATATTGAAGGTTTAAAAGGCGAAACATTCATTAATTTTTTCCATTTTTTCCATGTTAAACAAATGTGTAGAAAAGGGATTTTTTTTAAAAAAATTTTTTAAAATTATTCTGTTAAAATCAATTCTGAACTCTAATGAGTTGCTACTATTTTAGAATTTCAGTGTAATTTTTTGTTGGGAATAGTTTTCTTAGACTTAAAAGTTGCTCCTCTACTGTCCTTACGGCAGTGACACTGTCATAAGAAATTCTTAAAGTAAAATTTGAACTAATTAATTTTTCGTGAAATGAAACAACGTAACAAGTACAAAGACATTTATTATGAAAAATAAAATACATGTATTTGAGAATCACACATTTAAAAAAAGTTAAGAAATACTAAGGAAAATCATCAAAATTTATAGTGAAGGTCGTTCTATAACAGAGATCAATGAACTTGTAGTGTAGAAAACTTTTTGTTCAAATACATGCGTTTTTTGCATGAAAAATTAAATTTACATATTTAAGATTAATATATTTAAACAAACTACGCTTTGTGGAAAATACATGTGCTTGATACTATCGATCATTTCATTTATTTTTATAGATTAATGTAAATTTACTAACAGATGCATAAAAATGCTAATAACAATTTAATTAAAAAAATTCACCCACGGATATAAAATATTGTTTCAAAAGCTAACACTCAACTGAAAGTATCGTCAAAAAGTGATATTTTTTGAAACTTGCGAAAACCATACGCACTTTGTATGTATTAGCGACAACCTCAATTTTAGAGAGAATGAATGTGTTTTACATTTGTTTTGAAAAGAGCAGTGGTGGCAAGAGCTCATATTCTTATGAATTATGATTAAGGAAGAAGGAGGCATTTCAAAAAAAAGATTAATGTTCTAATGAAAAAAATCTAGAGAACAATATTATACCTAAGTTGAAATAATATTTTTGCAATTTTTTTTTTTAAAAAAACAAGTTGTTTTCAAACAAAAGTATGTGACCTATTTTTTGTTCACACACAAGTTTCGCAATTTTTTCGGTACATATTGCACTAATACTAAAGTGCGTGACCTACATTTTTTTGCTAACACACAAGGTTCGCAATTTTTTCCTTCTTCTTTTTGCATTTTCGATGGTTTTTTTTCGCATTAAAATGTGTGTAGTCTTTCGTTAAAAATAAACATAATCAAAAAGCGCTTAGATTTTAAAATTGAAAACGATTTCTTTTACTCTATCCGTTAAAAGAACACAATTTCATAATTTTTTTTTTTTTCTTATATGCTATTTGTAGAAACGTCTGAATTTTTTGCATATTTAATTTCATTTATGATTTTTAACATTTGATAATAATTAAAAAAATGCATTGTTATATTTTTTCACAGACATGGCGGAAGGAAATGGAGAAATTATTGATGACACCACCAAAAAAGCTGAAGATCGTGGAGATGGCGAAAAAACTGAAGATTACCCAAAATTGATACAATATGGACTGGATAAAAAAGTTGCTGCCAAATTAGATGATATTTATAAAACAGGAAAACTTGCTCACACAGAACTCGATGAACGTGCTTTAGATGCACTTAAAGAGTTTCCAGTAGATGGTGCCTTGAACGTATTAAGTCAGTTTTTGGAATCAAATCTAGAACATGTGTCGAACAAGTCAGCTTATTTATGTGGAGTAATGAAAACATATAGGTATGTAATATTAAAATAGTGAATGATATTACAAATTAGCATTACTTGTTTTTGAATTTTTTTTAGACAAAAAAGTCGAGCAAGTCAAGCTGGAATTCCAACACCTCCTGTAACAGTTCAAGCAAAAGGCCCAGATGAAGATAAAATTAAGTCAATTTTAGAGCGAACTGGATATACGTTAGATGTTACTACAGGTTTATATTAAATTTTCATTTCCACTAGCAATAATAATAATAATAATAATAATAAAAAGGTTTCAACTTTAGGTTTGGATTTTTAATAATTTTTTAATATTTTAGGACAACGAAAATATGGAGGCCCACCACCAAATTGGAACCATTCTCCACCAGGAAACGGGTGTGAAGTCTTTTGTGGTAAAATACCAAAAGATATGTATGAAGATGAGTTGATTCCACTGTTCGAGAAATGCGGTTCAATTTGGGATCTTCGTCTAATGATGGATCCTATGACTGGCACCAATCGTGGATATGCATTTATTACGTTCACAAGTCGAGATGCTGCATATAATGCTGTACGAGAGGTAAGGAACATTTTTCAAAATTTTGCTTTTTTTATTAATAACTTTTTTAAAATGTGAATTTGTTTTTAGTTTAACATTTTTTTTCTCCCCAATCTGATGGTCGTATTGTTTTTTTAATTCTTCAAGATTTTCTTAAATATTGCTTAATATTTATTTTTATAACCATCAAAAGTAGTTTAAATAGAGTTTAGTTTTTTAATTGAAAATTCCCTCAACAATATAACAGAGATCGAAGCCGATTTTTTCGGCTTAACTCAATTTTTGATTTTTTTGATAGAAAAAAGCCATTTGACACCCATTTCAAGTATTTAAATTGAACTTTACATACTTTACTATGATTCTGTGTAATATTTTGTCAGCATGTAGCTATAGTAAGCTCAGAATTTCAAGTTAAAGAATGTTAAGCCGAAATTTAAGGCTTAAAATCGGCTAAATTGAAATTCTGAGCTCACTATAGCTACATGCTGACAAAATATTACACAGAATCATAGTAAAGCATATAAAGTTCAATTTAAATTTTGAAATTGGTGGTAAATGGCTCTTTTCTATCAAAAAAATCAAAAATTGAGTTAAGCCGAAAAAATCGGCTTCGATCTCTGCAATATAATAATAGTAGTTTGAATAGAAAAATTATTTATTTATACTTTCGCATGAATCATTAGTTAGTGATTTTGTTTTTTTTGATTATCAATCGTTTTCACTAAAGTGGATGAAAAATCGTCGATTATGTTTCTAAAAACACAATTAGACTACTTTAGAGCTTGAAATTTTTTTAAAATGTATTCATTCATAGAACATGCAATCTGTTACAATCTTTTACAGGCATAAGTAAACGACTCTTAAGCATCATTATTATCATATATTATTGTGACTTCAAAGACTGAATACCATAACTTTTAATTCGATATTTTCTTAAAATTTTTAAAATCTTTAAACGTTAATTAAAAAATTCAACAGCAAGTTTAATCAATCCACTTTAGTAATCAGTTAGATATTAAAGTTCAAAAAGGCCATGCAAAAAAATTAAATGCACTTTACATTATAGGAAAATCTGCAGTTATTTGAATGCCTTTTTTTTATTTGAAATGTATATTTAGACAAAACTTTTTTTATTACTAAGTTTTTAACATATTTACTTTACAAAAACGTATAAATTGAATTTGTTTCCAGATTAAAACCCCCCAAATAAGAAAAATTCTTTCAGTAAAAACCCGGCTAAAACTTTTCTTAAAGATTTAATTCTTTGAATTTATTATGATCATATTTCTATCTATCAGCTTTTTCTTTATTTCCTTCTCCTTCTTGTGCCGTTCGATTAAAACTGTATATAAAAAGTGAAAAAATGTATAATCTCACATTTAACGAATTCCATCCTATTTCTTAATACTATCATTTTTATATTATTTTTAATCCTCTTCCTTTATTACCATTTATAATATCATTTTGTCTTTTTAAATATTTTGTGTGTGTATAATATATTTGAGAAAATAGATATTTCTAGTATCTCATAAAATACATATATCATGTGTTTTTCGATATTTTTCTTTGATAATTCATATTCGACAAAAATTTTCTTTTGTTAAGTAAAGTTTTAAAATTAAAATAGCTAGTTAAAAATTGATGAAATGAAATCTAGAATTTTAAATAGGTTATTGAGAATATTGAAGAACAATGCAATTTTTTATCCGTGAATGCATCTGCTGATACCAATGAGAGAAAAACCAAAAAAAAGCACTTTAAGTCATTAGAAATATTACACACAGAACTCGTTATTAACAAAAAAGGAAAAATTCTTGTTAGTATATACTTATTAAAATTACTTCGTATTAATAACAAATTATTTTTCAGGTCTCCTCTTTGCACTCTAAATGTAAAATTATTTTTCAAACAGAATATAAGTTCTACCATATAACTCATGGCAGAAAAATTATATACCTTAAACTAGACAAAATTAGAGTATTTCTACTGTATTTTGTCTTAGGTGTAATCACTAAATTAAATTTATATTATATATATTGACAACTCTGTTACTACTTGCTTTTATTAATTGGCTATTTTTTTAAATTTAATCATCATTACTTTTAGTTTGTCAAATATGGTTTGGGGTATACTTTTTTTTTAAAAAAAATATGTCTGGTTTTATTTTTAATACACGAGCATGATTCAACAAACTTGAATTATTATAATTTTTTAATTTATCTAAAAATATTAGATGTGTATTTGTATAATTTAAAAAAAAACATAAAAACGAAGACAAAAATATTTAAATTCCTATTTTTCACTTTGTGATCATCATTTGAAAAATTCAAGATTCATTCAAAATAGTTGTTATCTATATTTTCCATCGAGCAAATTTTTATTATTTCTTATTATTTCTATTTTTATTTTTTTTCTCGAAATTCGCAACATATTCAAAAATAGCTTTTTCTTATTCTTTTTAATTATTTGTTGTTATTTATATTATTTTTGTTTACTTTTAATCGAAAACAATTGTGTTTTCTTTAATTTTTTAAAAACTTTTAATTTCTAATAGTTGTCTTATAAGTATTGACTTTTTGGTTATTTTTTTTCCTTTTATTATTTTTTTTTTTATTTTTCTTCTCCAAATTCCCAACAGCTCGATAACTACGAAATAAAACCTGGCAAGTGCTTGAAAATAAATGTTAGCGTACCCAATCTACGCCTCTTTGTAGGCAACATACCGAAATCAAAAGGCAAAGAGGAGATTTTAGACGAATTTGGCAAATTGACAGGTAATTAATACATAAAAGACCACGAACACAAATGACAACGGGACAATTAACTAAAATATGACTAGTGTTTGACTATAAAGCTTTTCGAATAGCTTTTTGGTTTTTGAAAAATAATTTTAAAAATGTAACACCTATTGTTAAATGTTGAATTCAAACAAAATGATATCAATTTTTATTCAAAAATCACAGATTTAATCAATCGACCTAAGCGCATTTCTACTGATTAGTAAAAAAAAAGTTAATCTAGAGCAACTGGAATGAACTAAATTAATTAAAATGCGTGGTCTTGATTTGCATAAATGGTCTCTGTGTAAATTTTTTGCGAGTGTTATATTTTTGGAAATTAAAGTCCTTTTCTCATTTCAATAATAAAGGATTATTTTCGTCACACCAGATCTTTTTGCGATAAATAGAATCTAAAATGTGAATTGAGTACAACATAATTTAATAAATAATCATAAATAATCTGAACAAATAATTAAATTAAAATCGAACAAACTTTAAACGTGCATTTTCACGCATTTCATTTATTTCATATGTTATTATTGTATTACATTTTTATAATTTTAATATAGTAAGCACTTGAAAGGAATAAATTGAAGATGTTTAAGCATCACTTTAATTACGTACGTAAATATTCTTGAATTTACAGCGATTTAAGTTATGGCTTCTTGAGTAATAGATCAGTACAACATTTACTTTTGATTTTTCATTAGACTCATTAATTGTTAATGAACAATAAAATAGAAATAAACTAGTGTAACGAGTAGCCCAATACAGATATATTCACACCGTCCCATCAAAAGTCTTGTGGATAAATTAAGCTTTGCTCAGAATTAGTTTAAAAGTTTATATATTTGAGCTTCGCTCAGCATATGCTTAGCTGAAAGTCTCTACAGGCCAATTCTTTGGATGAGATAATTTCGAAAAAATTAGCTTTCATAATCCAATGCCAACAAGTTTTGTTTCAAAACAAGATTTTCACTAACTTTAATTTCACTGTGAAGAATCAATAGGCTAGTACTTTCAAAAGATCATAAAGCACGATTAATTCTTAACAAGTGATCTGTATTTATTTTTTCGAATTCCACTCATCCAAAATAATTTTGGGTCATGTTAAGCTTTCTCCATTTCCTCGCAAAATTCGAAAACTGATTTTTCAATCTGAATGAAAACAAAAAATTCGCTCATGAATACAGTTTGAATATAAAAAAAATATTATAAATAATTTTATGTTTAATTGCAAAAAAATTAATTTATTGAATAATTTTAGTTTAACCATTAATGGCCTGTTTCACTAAGGTGGATAATCCTCATTTTAGGATTCTTTTTCTTCGATGTGCGGAAGATCCAAATATTTTTTTTTCTTATGTAGAATTAATTGATCAATAATAATCAGACCAGTTTAAAAAAAAAGTTTTTTTTTGTAATTTTCAATCTCGGTGGGACACAATTTTAACATTTTAGATTAATTATGTGGATAATCTCAGGATAATCTTCAGATAATCTACCTTCTGGGATAATCTTTTTTATGAAATCCATTATCTAAAAATTATTTTCTTTAAATTCATTTTTTCTGATTCACCATGCAGTTTAACACAGTAAAAAAAATCATGGACTATCCTTCGGATTGAAAAAGTGGAAATCCGATCGGTCGATACTACACCTTAGTGAAACAGGCCGTGAACTAATTTTTCATTTGAATAAAGACTCGGTTATGCAATGCTCACGTTATTTTATATATTTAGTTTACATGCCAAATACCATGGCATTCAATTGTAAATTTAGTGCATATTTTCATTTCATCATTCGTTGATCACACCTATTCATCTTGCAAATAATTATTAACCAACATAAACTCATGAAATGTTTAATCATTATCATCTTATTTTATTTTTTTTTTCAAATTATTTATAAGTTATCCTTTTTGCAAATTTTACTCCTTGAATATTTTAAGTTGGAATCACCTTTTATTTTTTATTAACCATTATGTTTAAAATAAAACCCTGAAAAATTATAATTTTTAAAAAAAATTCGGAACTTCTTCTTAAGTTTTTTTTTAAATCCTTAATATACTAATAATCAATTTATGTTTTCATCATAACATATATACAGTTATCATTGATTTCATACATTTTTCACGAATATCATACATGTATTTAAATTACCGCCGGAGAATCACGAAAGCATGTATATGTAACTCTGTATCAGTAATTGCAACTTTCAGTAAGGAGATAAGAAAATATTTTCTTTAAAAGTTATTAAAGATCAAGAGTTTTGAAAACAACTCCAGTCATTATACCCTTGTTTGGCGCCTTGAAAAATTTCTACTGATTGATATTTATAACTTTATATAAAATTAATTATGATCATAAATTTTGAAAAGCTAAAAAAACGTATTTATGCAAGGTTTAATTTATTTGAAAGATTTTTGAATTTTAAAAAATCGAAACATTCCTTTTCCCTGCAAAACAATTCAATCTACCAAAAACAAAATCTGCTAATTATTCCAGCTAAATGATTATGAAATTCGCAAAGGCAAAAAGATTGGTGTAACGATATCATTTAACAATCACCGGCTATTTGTCGGCAATATACCTAAAAATAGAGATCGCGACGAAATTTTAGAGGAATTTGCTAAATATGCACGTAAGTGAATAAAAGGATAACAAAATTCAAAATCTTAAGAATGTTCAAAAATTTATCAAAATTTATTCTTCTTCTTAAGAAATATAAATTCATTTGAAAACTTTCTAGAAAAATATATTAAACTCAAAATTCTATTTAAAAAAATCACTCAAAATTAACATCTAAAACGAATAATAAAATTGACTCTGGATATCGGATATCGACACGCAATGATTGTGAAGATAAAAACCAAAAAGAATTATTGACATTAACAAACGAATTGGAATAAAGTTAATTTAAGTTTCTTTCAAATTATATAAATATTGATATAATATTCAATTGGTGAATCATAATTTCTATTTTTTACATTTATTTAACTATTAGCAAAAAAGTTGTTTCATTTTCTGCCTTGCAAATGATAAAATTTTTTTTGATTAAACTATTGGAAAGTTTTTAATTTTTTTTGAATATCTCAGCAATGTTTATGTGTCAAGGCTTGAAATAAAAAATTAAATCTTTCTTAACATGATTAGAAATTTTCCAGCATGGAAAATTTCTTCATAATTCTAAAACATTTAGGAGAAGTATTTCAAGTTTTAATACATTGCCATAGTTGAGATATTCAAATTTTAAAAAGTGGCCACCCTTTTTTGAACAATGCAATCAATACGAAAACATAGAAATAAAAATTAAAAATTATAAACAATATTTGCATTGAAGAAAATGAAAAATTTGACTAACTTGTCAAGCGAAAATTTTATGGAATAAGATTTAGTTAAGTGAATGAATTCCTGAAAATTTTCTCTTTTCTTATTTTACTATTTTATTTATTTTTATTTTTAACAAGATTTATATATAATGTTGCGAAACAGTTCTGTAGCTAAACAATTTCATCTTTTTAAACAAATAGGTTTTGAAAAATTTACATTTTAAAATGAGTTGAAAATATATTATTCAAAAGAAAAAAAGTTATAATTTGTGCCGATAGATTTGATTTTTTTATTAAGACAGTGAATTAAAAAATTTAATTTGAATTAAATATTAATTTGAAGAGTAAAATTGAAAATCAATTGTTAGGCTACAGTTCTAATTACTCTTGTCTTTCTGAAACGCTAAAAATGTAATTCTTTTAAAAAAATTATTTTATTTTAATTGAATTTTTTTATGATATATAACTATTTACTAAAATTCTTTCAACTTTTTTTTTTGTAATGACTGGAGAATATTACAAACGCATTTCAAATTAGATTGAATATTATTTAACATGAAACATATTTGTGTCTCTTTTGAGATATATCAATGGAAAAACAAAAAATAACTACTAGAAACAGAAGGTTGTCCAAACAATTGCAGCAATAGTAAATTTATCTTTTGATATTTAAATTCAGACAAAATTAAACCAAAAAATTTGTTGTGAAAAGTATGTCGCCAACCGAAAAAGTTTGGAATACACTTCCTTAAATATAAAATTAAAACATTCAAAATAAAATCTGCATAAAAATTTAAATAAATTTTATGAATCGGAAGTTTACTAAGTACTTTAAATATACAAAAGTTGAAATTGTTTAGTATTTGATAATGTTTCTCAATATTTATATACACATATGTATATGTGTGTCTTTTTTGGTTATGTTTAATAAGTTAAACTTTTAAGTTTTTACTTAAAAACAAACTATTTTTTTTACTACCTTTAATTAAATCTTTTAAATGTTTTCAATATAAAATAACTTATGACAGCTGGACTGATGGAAGTGATAATATATAGCTCACCAGATGATAAGAAAAAGAATCGTGGCTTTTGCTTTCTCGAATATGAATCACATAAAGCTGCTTCATTGGCAAAAAGACGTTTAGGAACAGGCAGAATAAAAGTAATTTGATATTTATTGTTTTTTTTATTGTTTTTGAATTTTCAACATAAAGTAGCCGAATGAAAGACAACATTATCGGAAAAATTTTGATGGATTATTTTTAACTGTTTCCAACCGATGTCCATTAAATTTTGGTGAGGAATCGGTTGGAAAGAGTAAAAACTTCCCATTCATCTTTTGATATATAATGTTTGATAAAAATATTAGCAATCAAACGAAAATTATTATTTTAACTTTTGAAATTTTGTATAATAAGCAGAGGTCGAAGCGAGCATAGCGAAGCGAGTTTTTAGCGAGCTCGCTTCGCTAAAAATTCAACTTGCTAAAGTTGACCTGTAGCGAGAATTTTCTTTTTCTTTTCGCCTTAGCGAACTATAGCGAACTCAATTTTATTTTTTTCGCTTTAGCGAACTATTAGCGAACTTAATTTTTCAAAGTTCGCTATAGCGAACTATTGGCGAACTAGAAAAATTTTTTTGGCTTCATATTAAGAGATGTCTGATTGCGTTTGTGAAGTATGTAATTTCATACAAAATTGCAAAAAATTATAGTTCGCCAATAGTTCGCTATAGCGAACTTTGAAAAATTAAGTTCGCTAATAGTTCGCTAAAGCGAAAAAAATAAAATTGAGTTCGCTATGGTTCGCTAAGGCGAATAGAAAAAAATTTTTCTCGCTACAGTTCGACTTTGGCAAGTTGAATTTTTAGCGAAGCGAACTTGGCGAACCAAGTTCGCTTCGACCTCTGATAATAAGAGCTTTCTTTTAAAAAATTCTGGAATTTTTTTTATCGTCACTTGTTTTCTTAAACTTTGTAAATAGAAACCAGAGCTCGAAGTCGACTCAGGTTTTTTCAATCGAGTCGACTCGAACCCTATCGACTTCGAGCTCTGATAGAAACATATAATTTAAAAACAATTTTTAAAAAGCACGAAAAGTCTAATTGGTTGACATGCTACTGTATTGATAATATAATAATTTTTTTTAAAGGTATGGAGTTGTGATATAATAGTTGATTGGGCTGACCCTCAGGAAGAGCCAGATGAGGGAACAATGAGTAAAGTAAAAGTTCTATACGTGCGCAATTTGACCCAGGATGTATCTGAAGAGAAACTAAAAGTAATTATTTTAAAATAAAAAATTTAAACTTTTTTTTAACTTTAATTTTTGATAAAAACTAAGGTTTTTTTTTGTCATAAAATCCAACAATTTATTTTTTCATAAGGGCAATTTAGAAAAAAAAAACGTTTGAACAAATTTTTGGGGAGAAAGATGGTTTCAACAGTAACCTAACGAGTTCAATGGTTAATTATATACGGATTTTTTGTGCTGTTTTGTTTTGAAATTTTGCGTTTTGCTTTTTTTTTAAATATATCTTTATAGAGGCTTACCGAAATTTCAACATTTTATAATTTACCAAAGCTCACAATGTTAAATCATTTAATTAAAGCATATGCATGAAAGTATATACTTGCTTTTACTGGGCATCCAAAAATTCCACTCATCTGTGGAAAAGCACAATTATTGAATTAAATCCGTGAGGAAGAATTAATAAGGTTTATTGATTAATAAGCATTAAGATTGTCAAACCAACAACACAATTTGAATCACTTCATATAAGGGCAAATCTACGAAAGACTTTTTTGTCAAAAAATCAATTATTTGCAAATTTCTCGAAATTGGCTTATTGATTTTGGTTCTTCAAACTTTTATATTGTGTAGAAACTTGATAATCACTGTTTTGAATTATGAGAACATTTGTACATTAATTAATTAATGATTTTTTCCTGTTTTAAGAGCGTTTACCTGTCAACATTATCGAAACTGAATTTTTTTATTCTTTAATTTTCTCTTTAACTAGCCATTTTAATATCACAAAATGGATCTCATCAAATTTTCGCTCCTATTAGCTTCCATTATGTGCTCTTATTATTTAAAATAATGGGTTAACTAAAGAGATATTTGCAAAAAATAGCGTTTCACTGTCAACATTACAACCTTTTATTGCAAAACACAACTTAATTTGAAACTGAAAATTCCGTTAAAATTTATCAATACTCAAAATATATTTAATCAAATATGTACATTTAATGCTGAATACAATTTTAAAGTCTTTAATTTACAATTTGTTGATGTTTTTAAAAGATAAATTAATGTAGAAAGGAAATTAAACCCAATTTCATTTAAAATTTAGCGGTTTTTTAGAATTTTTCAAGTTGATTTTTACAGTACCGTTTATTCATAGATTTGCCCTTTTATTTAATCAAACGCTAGCAAAAACCTGTATTTAAAGAGAATTTTCATGAAGTAGTTTCAGAATTTTTTGAAAAGTTAACTGTTTGACAACAGTTTTATCAAAATATTTAATGACAGACATTATTCAACCATAAAGTTTTTACATTCATAGAGTCCTTTCACGATAAATTTATGGAATGGAGATAAATTGTTTTAATTAAAGCAAAAATACAATCAAATTTTTTTTCTCAATTTTCTTACTTATGGAATTACCCAATGGATCTGTTGGAACTAATACTAATTACTTCTTGTTTTTTAATTAGGAACAATTTGAGCAATATGGCAAGGTTGAAAGAGTTAAGAAAATTAAAGACTATGCTTTCGTTCATTTTGAGGATCGCGATAATGCTGTGTTAGCGATGAGAGATTTAGATGGGAAAGATCTTTGTGGTTCACAAATGGAGGTATTTTGAGCACAGGAAACAAAAATTTAAGGCAATTCATTCTAATTCCATTTCAAACAGGTATCTTTGGCAAAACCACCGTCCGATAAGAAAAAGAAGGAAGAAATTTTACGAGCTCGTGAGCGTCGAATGATGCAAATGATGCAAAGTCGATCTGGAATTTTGGGGTGAGAACATTTTTGATTGACTTTTAAAAAGAAAATAATTCTATATAATTTGTTACATAGATGTGATGCATTTAGTATGTCTCCCACTGGAATAATACCACCTGCTATACCACCAATGGCATCTGCAACGGCTGCTGGAATGCGAGCTGGTGCAAGTAATCAGCCAAGGCTTCCACTTCGTGGACCAATGGCTTCTGCTCGTGATTATGGTAAGTATATTTAATAGAGGAACCATTTTAAAGCCTTTTACGTGTATTTCAAGAAATAGTAAATTAAGATATGCACATAAAAAAATTAGAGATATACAATTTTTATTTAAAAAAATAATAAAAAAAACAACATGAATCACAGCTATTAATGATAATGGACATAATTCTATTCAAGTTGTTTCCATTAGTTTTAATAAAAAATTAACATTAAGATTTTATTGTAATTCATTTAACATATGATGGTAAATTATGTTATGGATATTTAAAAAAAAACAATTAGACTTTTTTAAAGACAAAGATGTTCAATAATATCAAATTTTTAAAAATTTGGAAAAAAAAGTTCGGGTTGCTTTAAAATTTTATTTTCTTTTAACATTTAAGTTTTGAAATTTTCAACGTTACAATTTTCATTTTATTTTTTTTACGACGCGATTTTAATTTTCCAAATATTTTATTAAAGCATAGTATTCTAATAAGCGTAATTATTGAATTATTTTTTGTTCGTCAAACATAAGACATACATTAAAATTATTCATAATTTAAATCTTCATTATCTCAAATCAGGTGCGTAGCCAGGATAATTGACAAATTCTCCGTCAACAGAAATTTTTTCATTTTGCTAGGGTTTTTATGAAAAAAATCCTTTAAAAAATCCTGGCTACGCTCCTGTCACAAATGTATGTTAAAAACGATTTAATTATAAAATCATGATTTTATTTCATTATTTTTCATATTAGTTTTTTTGCTCATGTACGCATGCTTTTTTTGGCTCGTAGAAAACTCAATACTTACATAATTGTTCAAAGTACAATTTTAGTTCAAAAGTTTTATTTTATCAAGTTTACACCGTTTAGCTCGTTGAAAACTCGTTTTGAAAAATGCAGTATAATATTGCACTTTGTTCGAGTGGTACATTCGCTGCAAAGAAAAGTGCTTTAACCAGACACAAATTGAGAGCCCGGGTATTTTTTAATCAGCTCAGTTCTCTCAAGTCATTAGTTGTTTTGTGAACATTTAAAAACCTAAAACCATACAGTGTAACCTGTAGAATTGTTAATCATATTATCCGAAATAAAAATAAAAATTACGTATATTATATATTGTTTGTACGTAATAAATAAAATTCAACGCATAATGATTAAAATCGTTTTAAAGAGGATTGCTTTAATTGCTTTATTTTGCTTTTCAATTCGGATTGGTTTTCTAATTCAGTACTGATCACTGCGGTAAAAATGCTCCGAAATATCTTAATCATACGAAAAATTTTGTAATTTTTCACTCTAATATTCATTGTTATTTCTTTTACTTTTTTTTAAAATTTTACAAAAAAAGTGACATAATGCTTCTAGTAAAAAATATCCACTTTCGCGTTCTTGTGTCCTGAAATTGAATTTTTCAAGTTTACCACTTTGTTTGCAAGAAAATGGTTCAAAAATTAACATATTTAAACTCCTCTCCAAAAGAGTTTTTGATTGGGCAAGACCGTTTTTCGATTAAGTGTCAGATTTTGCTATTATTTCGTTTATATCTCTGTAACGAAAATACTTACAGTAAAACTAAACATACTGTTTTATAGAACTTTTTGATGCCTATCTTTTGGTATGTAACTTTTTATTGGAAGTACTATACTTAAGGCTGTAGAGCCTGAAAATAGGCAAAATCTGACACTGAATTTTTGGGAAGGGTATTTGAAATTTTACTAAAACTAGTCTATCTCGCTTAGTTTTACACCGATTTCGATAGTTTTTTCAGCAATAGTTAGTTTAAAACTACAGTTATCATTAAAAAGTAATAAAAATAAAATGGCGACTTAATAAGTTAATTTAATTAATGTTTTTAACCTTATTTTCCTATATTTTTCTATCAATTTTTAACTTACTTAACTTTTTTCTTGACACAAATATAGTTTTAGACCTTGGCTTTATGATAGAAGTCAAAAATTTTTGAAAAAAGTAGTATAATTAACTTTTTTTGGTCATTTTGTAAAATTGCCTTTAAATGGCAATTGAATAGATATTCTTTTAATTTTATGATGTAAAATGATAATTATACATCAAATATGCTTAGTTTTAGCAAAATATATCACAATATAATGTTATAGAACAAGAAAAAAGCAAAAACTTTAAAAACTTTAAACAAAAATTTTCAACCGTTTTTGAAAATTCAAATTTTTGACTTGATTAAAGAGTTGTAAAATAAACTTTTGGTTAAATTAACTAAATTAGAAGGCTTTATTGCAGTAAATTCTTGCAGGAAAGTTGTAATTTATCATTAATTAATGCTTTTTGAGGGACAATAATGAAAATTTCATTAAATTTATATGTAAAATCAATTTTGGTTAATTTAACTAATTTTGTGTATTAATTTGAAAATGTGTGTATGATAAATGAAAGAAAATAAGATTCTCAACAACTTTTATGAACATATCAGCTCCTTTTACAGCTTCCTTCTTGGATAAAAATCACTTTGAATGTTTGATTTAGAAATTAAACTAACTTATAAAGTCGCCATTTTAAAATTATTGGGTTAAAAATTCAGTTTTTATATTTGGCTATAAGCCACTGAAAGAATTGTGACGATTGAATAACTAAACTCTGAGTGAATCAACTTTCAATATTTGTTCACTTTTTTCGCGGTCTTGCCCGATTGAAGTTTATGATAAGAGTGATGGAAAAAACGATTTACTTCACATTTGTATGAAGCCTAAAACTTTTAGCTTAGAACTGACGATGGTCATTCCCCTAAAAATTGATCCCGATAATGGAATAAAATGAGCTAATAAAACAAACCCGAGCTCTCTACGATTTCTGGTTAAAAAGTTTTTGATTAAAACTAAACAATTAAAATGTATTATTAAGTTACCGTTTTGAAACTAAAGTCAAACTAAAGAAAACTATCAAGAACCACCAAACAGCATGCAAGTCTTTAAAAAAATATTAAGAGGTAAAATGTATAATTTTGGTACATGGGAAATTTCACAGATTAATTTAATTTTGTGAAAAAGAAGCTTTTTTGATCAATGTTTTTTAAAAAAATTATTTCTGGAAAACTGCATTTTAATTTAGTTAAACTTTCTGAAAACCAGTTAAATATCTTTATTTGGCTCTATATTCTCATGAACAGCATTTAATAACAGTTATTAATTAAGTTAATTTTGGCTTTTTAAATACCCTATTTTTATGTTATTAGCCAGCGGCTTATGGGATGAAAAAAGTTTTCAAAATCCTGAAAAAAAGCTTAATAACGAGTAATGGACTTTTAAAAAAATGTCAACAATTAAGAAAGATTAATAATTTTTATTGAAATCTTAAATTTTTCAAGTTCAATTTATTTTGAAACTACTCAAGCCAGGCGCGTAGCCACGGGGGGGGGGGGGGATTTGGGGAACAAATCCCACAACGTAAACAAAAATTTCTTTATTTTGCTAGGGTTTTTATGAAAAAATCACAAACCCCCTCCCCCCCTTAAATTTTTTCATACAAAAAATTGTTTGTCCCCCCCCCCCCCTCATCAAATTCTTGGCTACGCTCCTGATTCAAGCTTTTATTTCTTACCATTAAATCACTTTTAAAAATTATTTTATATGGTTTAATTAATGGAAAATTGGTAGTGGCTTAATGACGAAGGGAAAAATTTTCTGATCCAATTTTCTTTATCAAGCTACTGGAATAGTAACGAGTAGTGACTTCTAACGTAAAAATAGGATAATGAATTTTTCATGGATTAGGAAAATAAAAGCTTCAAAATAAGATTTTCATTTTTCCACTTAGTAAGTGACTTTTAAGTTAATTGTTTATAGTATGCAGAAGTCAGAATCTACAAGAAAACAACAATGAGTATAGACAGCCACTAAAGAAGCGAAAAATTCTAATTTCAAAATAAGAATTTCAAATTTTAAAACAGTATAACGCTCGAGAAAAATCAATTATATTCACACCGTTTTCACGTGTAAATCTATTGGTTTTGTTCAGATTGAAAAATCAGTTTTTCGCATTTTGTGAAAAAACGAAGCAAAATTGGCTATGGAAGGTCCTTGAAAAAAAGTTTGTTTCTGAAATTTTACATCTTTTGCAAAAAACAAACTTCAAATTGGTTGCAGCATTGCTGAGAAAATTGCAAAAAACGCTTTCTGTAAGCAAACAAGCAAGCAAGTTAATCAGCAAGAAATCTCAATAACGAGACATCGTAGAGACTTCTAGTTTTTTACATTTGATTCGTGCTGCTCTATAGAAGAGTTGTATTGTTTTTGGGCAAGGTAGGATCAGCCGTTGCTTCAGAAAAAGCAAAAAACTTTCCTTTCTTACGAATTTTTTAAAACAAAAGTTCACTGTGATTTTTAAAAAATTAAACTTTGGATGAAACTTATCCTGAGCCAAGCTCACCTGACTCGCTAGCTTTATTCCTTTAAACTTATGCTGAGTGAAGCTGAGCTGACTCGCTAGCTTTTTACCTTCAAACTTATGCTGAGCGAAGCTTAGCTGAATTGTCAACCTTTATATCTTCAAACATATGTTGAGCAAATCTTGGTCTATCCATAAGACTTTTGATGGTACGGTGTGAATATATCCGCGTTGTGTTTCTACCCGATACACTAGTTTTAATTATACTTTTTATACAGACAAGTAATCAGTGAAGTATGATTAAATACAACTAAATCTTTGTTTAGAATATTATTAAAAACTTGATCAAAAAAGCTTTAGTCATTTTCTTTTACTTTTCTGGAGCCAATTTAGGCCTTTAATATAATTAATAAAATGTGAATTTTCCAAAAAAAATATAGTTTTAACGGGAAAATAAGGAACCTTTTGATTTCTAAACACAAAAATAAGGACCTAAAAATAAGGCGGAACTCTACATACTTTTTAAACATCCAGACAACTATTGATAACTCAATTCATGCACATTCAGTCGTATTTTATTATCCTGGCTACTTTGTTTTACTTGAAACACACTCATTAAGGAGCAAAATGCAAATTTAGCTTGAAACAAAACCACTTCTT